CAAGAGTAATTTACTAGTATATATTTAGTTTCTAATATTTATTATAAGAAGCTAAACGCAGCTGTTCAAGTTAAATAAATTTAATAGCACAGTCTCTAGAGGCATTTTCAATTAGCTACTGTTTTTTGGATTTACTCACCTTTTCAAGTTAATTTAATTTAACTTTTTAAATGTTTATTTATTTATTTTGAGAGAGAGATTATATGCATAAGAGCAAGTAGGGAAGGGCCAGAGAGAGAGGAGAGAGAGAATCTCAAGCAGGCTCAGCATTATCAGAACAGAGCCTGATTCAGGGCTTGATCTCACCAACCATGATATCATAAGCTGAGCTGAAATCAAGAGTCAGATGCTTAACCGACTGATCGACCCAGGTACCCCTCATTTTTTCAAATGTAGATAAAGCTTAGAAAAGAATGTCAAATGGTTACAACTTCGGTAATTTTTTTTTCTAATAAGAGTTTTCTGTCTTTTAACAAAGGTATCTTCTCAATAGGAAGTAAATGCTATGGAAAATCAATCAGAATGTTATATAACAACAAAACTTGGTTACATTTGCAAATAGGGTCAAATTACTTTAAAAGGAGAGAGTTAGAAGCAGCTTTTCTGAGTGGGAAAGATTTTCCTTATAATTGTGGCAAATTTAGGAACAGTATTCATATACTTTCTAGCAACAGTGTGTTCTGGGGGAAATTCAGAAATTATATGAAAGATGATAGAGAGATACATATCTTTATTATGACCCTACCCTCTTGTCTGTGAAGGAAACCAAACCACCTGAGAAACTGAGAAGACACGTCTGCATCAGCTGGAAGAAAAAAATCAGTAAGACTTTTTCTTAATGTCGAGAGACTAAAGTATTCCCAAAACAATAATGAAGGATAAACCAACAACCAGATAGACTCCTACTGCAACCCTGACTGGCCCTTCACAAGCAAGGGAATTCTTCTTAATTTTTCTAAATGTTGCCAGTAAGCACCTCTACCCATTGTTTCGGTGGTCATTTGAAACCTTACCCTTTTCTTCAGCCCATCCTCCTCTCCCCCTTGTCTTTGCACATGATTCCACTTTAAAGATAAAATAAAGCACCCGCATTAATATCCAAACAATATAAAGAACTCATACAACTCAGAAAAAATTTAAAAAGTGGCCAGAGGAACTGAATAGACATCTTTCCAAAGGAGACGCACAAATAGCCAACAGGTATGTGACAAGGTGCTCAATATCACTAATCATCAGGGAAATGCAAGTCAAAACCACAATCACATATCAACTCATACATGTTAGAATGGTTACCATAAAAAAGATAAGAGATAACAAATGCTGGTGTGGATGTGGAGAAAAGAGAACCCTGGGTGGTGTGGTGGGAGTGCAAATTGGTGCAGCCGCTGAGAAACAATCTGGAGGTTCCTCAAAAAACTAAACATAGAACAGCCATATGATCCGGCAACTCAACTTCTGAGGACGTCTATACCCAAAGGAAATGAAATCACAATCTCAAAGAGATATCAGCACCCCCACATTCACTGCAGCATTATTTACAATGACCAAGATATAGAAACAACTTATGTGTCCATTAGCAGATGAATGGACAAAGGAAATGTGGTAAATATGTAGAAAATCATTCAGCCATAAGAAGAAAGAAGGAAATTCTGCCATTTGCAACAACATGGATGGACCCTGAAGGCATTAAGATCAGTGACATAAGTCAGATGGAGAAAGGCAGATAGTGTACGGTCTCATTTATATGTAGAGTCTAAAAACAGACAGACAACAAGAAACTCACAGAAACAGACAACAGGTTGGTGATTGCCAGAGGTGAGGGCCAGGGGTGGTGGGATAAATAGGTAAAGGATGTCAAAAGTTACAAACTTCCAGTTATAAGATAATAAGTCATGGGGCTGTAATGCACAGCATAATGACTATAGTTAACAACACAGTATTGTACATTTAAAGTTGTAAGACAGTAGATTTTAAAAGTTCTCATCAGAAAAAAAAATCAACTATGTGAGGTGCTGTATGTTAACTAAATTTAGTATGGCAATTATTTCTCAAATCATTATCATGTGTAGCCTAAACGAATACAGTATTATATGTTAGTTCTATCTCAATACATCTGGAAAAATATTTTAAGCAAACAAAAAAGGAAACATACAGCCTCACTCACCCTCGCAAAAGTGAAGCTGATCCTTATATTCTCCTCACAGTCTCAGCAGAGGAGCCCACTTTTGCCCAGGACTACCCTCCACCTGTGTGCTAGAATTGAGTCTCGTCTCTATTGAGAAAGAACCTTGCTCTACCAGTCATCACCTACCCACTTCTCAAATGGCTTTTGGAATCCAAACATGCTCAAATTTCACCATCTTTAAAGCAAAACAAGTAAACTGCTAATATTAATCACACACCCAGGCACACACAAGCTCTCTCTCTTCTTATATGTCAGCTAATGTGTTCCTGTCCGTCAGTCATTCTCTTTCTTGAATGGTTAACTTTCTATTCACTTTTAAATCTTTAGAATTACTTCTGGAGGGGCCCCTGGATGGCTCAGTCCATTAAGCCATTTGACTTCGGCTCAGGTCATGATCTCATGGTTTGTGGGTTTGAGCCCTGAGTCAGTCTCTCTGTTGACAGCTCATAGCCTGGAGCCTGCTTGGGATTCTATATCCCTCTCTCTTTCTGCCTCTCCTGCTCACCCTCTGTCTCTCTCTCTCCCTCAAAAATAAATAAACATTAAAAATATATATATAACATCTAAAATTTAAAAAGGAATTACTTCTAGAAATCCACATGACCACCAGACTCCTTTCCAGCTTTCTCCCACATACAACCCTAAGTTACTCTATAGTTCTTGTCTTTCTAGAGCCCTGAATAGGTAGGACATGGAGTCTTTGCATCCCTGGGTGTTTCACTCTGTCCTCAGCATGCAGCACCCCGAACTAGGCAGAAGCGGTGTTCGGGAACTCTCAAAGAACCGAATGGCTCACCTCAGGCCTCATCAACTCACTACGCATTTCCCATGCTCTTCCTTCTTTTCCCCTCATAAGAAGGTCTGTACGTCCAATCCTGAGTGGAAAGCCGTATTCGCAGAGCATATTGTCTACCACCTCTCTCTCTTCAACGTCTGTCACAACCTTTTGTAACTCTGCTAAGATGTCTTATCTATCACTAGACTCTTGAGTTCTAGAACCTAAGGATCTAGTGTTACTTACCTTCCCATTTGGAGCACCTACAATATAGAAGTTCTCAAAATTATCTAAAGAAAAGGAAATAAGGAGGGAGGGATAGAGAGGGACACTTTTGAGCGGCAGGAAACTGTCAAGGTGTGGGGGAGGATTTGCATAACAAAGCGAGGTGAAAATTATAAAAACAGAAGATACCCAACTTCAAAATTTTTACTTGATATAATATAAAAATGGTAACTATTTGTCACAAGGTTGATGTCATATATTTAAGTAAATGAAATACAAGTTCTTTTCTATATCTACTCAAACTCTTTAAAATTCACAACACACATTTTATAATAGATCCAGTTTCCCCATTTACATTAAGAGATAGTATTCATCCCCATAATAAGATTATATAATTTATGCATCTTAAAAAAGAAAACATATAGCAGTAATACTAAAGTAATACAATGCATTTCCCAGGCCTTCCCAGGTAATGGGGCATTATTGCACAGGTAAATCATTTATCTCATGACCACCCAAAGAGCTAAATAGAACAGGTACTGTTATTTTCACTTTACAATTGAGAAAATTGAACTTCAGAGAGGTTAAAAGGTATATACGCCTTGGAGCTGTGAATAAATTGAAGAAGAAGGTGAAGGTAAAAAGGAGAAATATTAGATTTGCTCTTCTGAAAATGCTTCAGTGGGAGAAGCACAATCTTAATCAGCAGCAACAAATACTTATTCAGCATTTACCTCTAGGAACCCAGCTCTGTCTTTCCTGTGATAGAAGTTTTATCACAAGGAAGAGCAGGCATCACTTCACAGCCCTTCAGACAGCAATTTTTTTTTGAGAGACCTGGGCCTTTCAAATAATTTACTCCCTGAATGCAAGGATGACAGGAAAAGACCTAGGATGGTGGGAAAGGCAATCATTAACCGTTTAACATCTAATATGGCTAGCATGCTATTTTCTTTGTTAAACTTATGATACAGTAAAAAGCTTCCTTCTGTGTGTGTGTCTGTGTGTGTGTGTGTGTGTGTGTGTGTGTGTGTGTGATATGCACATACTTTGTTTTTGGATAATTAACATGTTTTAATTCAGGAACAAATGTTTCCCTTTAGCCAGCACCTTCATGTTTCTCTTGTTTTATTCTGTCCAACTAGAGTTTCTATTATCATGTTGGCTTTTTGTTTTGTTTTGTTTTTTGCCTGTACTACCTATTTTTTCAGATGCTTTTATGTGGCCTTTTTTTTTTTTTTTGCCAATTTTAGAGCACCTGAAGAACATCTTTTTAACAAAATAATCATAAAGAAGAAGGATTTAAGAGATATCTATGCCCATTGCTATGTAAACGCTAATATTTTTTGAAGTTCATCCAGAACTAAAACACTGGATTGCAGTAAGAAAATATTCACAACAAGTAGTGGATATGAATGCCTTTTGACTCTTTTTCTAAAAAACACAATTTTAATGGTTCACGTTACTTTGGCAATAAATACAGAAAAGTATTATAGAGTCATGTAATTGTGGCATCTTGGCTTTTATGACATCTTGGTTTTATATATATATACATCTTGGTTATATATATATATGTAATAATATTTATATAATACATATATATATATTACTCTAAATTTTATGCTAAATAAATATGATCAGGAATAAAACTTCCATTTATAATTTTCCCCCAAGGACAAATGTGACCTATTTATGCACAATCTGTATTATGAACAGCTTTCCAACTTGTTTTGATAAAAAGGAGAGATTTTTATCTTTCTTGCTTTACTTCTCAGGACTAAACATCAGGAGGCAAATGATGTGCAAGAGACTTACCCACTCTTCCTCATCATAGTCTGAATGATGTGGTATGGAGTCTTGCCTTCTCATCAGTGGGGGCGGGTCCTGGGGACAGCTCTCCTCTGTGCTGCTTTTAGGAGAGGGTGGTTTCTTAAGGACACCTCCTGGCCTGGCAGTGTAGAGGGCTAAAAGAGCACTTCTGACCAGCTGATCCTTGAAGGCATGTACAAAAAGCTCTGTCTGGAAAGAAATTGACAAGGATTAGAAACACCATGGTAGGCATCTCAGCATAGAGCTATGAAAAGGTCAACTGCAGATTTGTTGGCACATAAGTGATGCACGTGGTGGAAAAAGTACAAGCAACAGAGAGAGAAAATGATTCATACCAATCAATGAAAGTAGTTGAGTTTTGGGGGGATGCCAAGGCCTTGAGTCCTCCTCCTGTGCTAAAAGTTAATGCTGAGGTTCTGTGGGCACTATAAACACCAGCTGTCTCCTCAGCCCCCTCTCTTTTAATTCCAAATTCTGTCTCTGAAGATGAATTTCACTAGACATAATCATTTGAACACTGTCTACCTGCCGCGCCTTTCAAGTAATTCCAAATGCACCTTAAAAGAAAATGTGATCAGACTATGCATATTCTATAGTTTAAACAGACTGAAAGTCTAAAGACGTATCTTTAAAAATAGAGGCAGGAGACCTTTTTTTTTTCTTTTTAGTATCATGAGTAGATTTCAACAGTAGAAATGCTATAGGCAGTTTTCCCATGAAAATATTTGACTTTAATTCCTTATTGTCACCCCTTCAACTGTCTCCTCCATCAAATGGTTTCAGTAATGCTCAGTGTTAATGAGGCTGCTGTGAAACTTGCTATGGTAGATTTTACAAGCTTGTGGTAAATACCTAGTAAGCACTATAGAAATGATAGAAATGACAGCTTCCCAACAATAACGAACTTTACAGCAGTACTTTGCAATTTCCTGATGAAATGTTTAATAGCTTCACCCTGTACTGTACTGGAGGCTGCAGTAATTGATTTTCTGTATTATACTAGACTTAACACGAATGCGGTCTAACAATCTATTCAGTCAGAGTAGAGTATTGACTCATATTGCTAACACATTCACATACTGTAATCTGTTGGGAAGGAGTCCTTCAACTCATAGTATTATTTTAATAATAGTTGATACCATCACCATTTCATGAGACACTTGGATGTAATGGTGACTTCACCATCGCTATAACTCAAGGTAATCATTTACTGGAATATTCTCAATATGCAGTCTACAGTGCCATGTCTAACTAATGATTACTAAATTATCCCTTAAAAATCCCTGTTGTAAGTGTCAGCAATTAAAGAAAACCAGTTAAACTCCATGCAAAACAATTACCCAATAAGACTATGTTAATAAAACTACATATGCTAATTAGACTACATAGTTAAGTCTTTGCAGTAGATTATGAAATTCTAGAGCTGCACAAGACCTTAAAGTCAGACCTCTCATTAACCAGATAAACTAAAAAGGAAGAGTGATGCCCAGAACAGACTGCTTACCAGTAACTAGAGCCCTAGTTTTCTAACAAATTCAGTAGCTTTTCCCTTTACTCCACACCACCTATCAACCCACTGTCACCTGCATGCTTCTGTCCTTCTCCCTCTTCTTCCTTAACCCCAAGCTCCTCGAAAGCTTTGCGCATCTACTTGCTCCTCTAATTAATCATGTCTACAATGATCAATGTAACTATCTTCACAGTTAAACTTTATTGGATGTTTTTAAATACTTTAACCTATTGGTTGTATTGAAAGCACTTTGAAGGTAAGTAGACAAGAAATATTTTTAAAAAGGATGTACCAGAATAAAACACTGAAAAATATTTTGGTAATAAATTAGGAAAACAAAAGGAAAAGGCAGCTCATACTGAAAAGGCATACAAAAAACATTAATTGATGTTCACAATGAAGTGTTAAAATGAGAATGAAGGATACAAAAAAATATTGATAAAAATGTAGCAAGACAGTACTCACACAAGGCAAGATAGTTATAGAAAAATAGGGAAACACATTATTTACATAATTTTAATAGAGTATGGATAGATACATCAATATGGATTTAAATATTTAAAAATGCAAATTTACTTCCATTCAGCTTAACTATTTCTCTATTGATAGATTCAATAAATTCTTTTGACTTATTTTTAGAGCAAAACAGCTTGCTTTCTTTGAATTTCTGCTACTACAGCTCAAATCTCCATAACAGTCATCTAATTACTATGTAGCTGAATATATATTCACACCCAATGAAATCTACAGTTCTTATAATTGCCATCATTTTCTTCCCACTGCACACATGCACAGAGATTCTACTTCATTTATTGAAATTTCATTTGGGTTGATTTGTCACCAAAGACATAAAAGATAGTACAGTAGATTCCTGCAGTATTACAACCCAGAATTTTCTTGGGGGGGCATGGCTGAATGAATACACAAAATCTTATAGAAACACTTTATGTCTATATTGAAAAATTCATCTGGCTCTTTAGAAACTCTGTGAGTCACTAAGATCCTTTGCACAGAATTGCACTTTGTTAGAAAACAGCCAAATATTCCATTACTATAACCATATGACCTGGAAATTTTCTTGACCAGCACTACTTAGTAGATGTAGACCAATGCAGACCCTGATGTTTTATACTCAAAATAAATTAGCTTGAAGAGATTAATGTAATCACTCAATTCCAATACATCTGTATGCTGCTGTTCTTCCAACTGAGATGACGCTAAGAAAATTCAAAGTCATGGGAAGGATGTGGAGTTGCCTACTGACTGAATGTATTGAAAACCTTTTCCTTTCCTGACTCAGCTCACTTCATTAAATGAAAGGGAAAAGGCTGTCTACGTGTAATCATAAGGGTAGACAAATCAATTTATTCAAAAATAGTTTAATAATATAGCAAAAAAAGCATAAACTCTGAACCTAAGGTAAATCATTTCATTTGTTTGATATTAAAAAAGAGAAATGGTATCTTAAAAATGAAATGTTTTCTTGCCTTCCTGACATTTTTTCAATTCATATTCTCATGCAAGTGTTCTTCAAAGTAACACACAGAATTATCTACAAGTATAAAACCAGTAAAATTACTTTTCCTGGGGTTGAATTTCCTAGGTTCCTCAATATTAATGGCAGAGGAATAGTTAGGAATATGTTTATTTAAAACCACCCTTTTAAACTAGAGATCTCAACAGATTAAGCAAAGTCTCATACTATTTAGAATCTCCTTTTTTTCATTGAAAAAATTCAAAGTGATGCCAATCCCACCTGCAATACAGAAGTAGCCAATCACATAAACAGGTAATTATTATTTTAGTAGTCATGTAAATGACAAAAAAGACTCCAGTTTATTTTTTTTTCCCTTACCTTATCATTCCCAACTAGCACCCAACTAGCCTCTTTTACTTTCATCAGCTGCATGGTCCCTATTTGATATCATTGGATGTCTATTTCATTATTTAGGTATAACTGACATATAAAATTATATTAGTTTCATATGTACAGTATAAGGATTCAATATTTGAATATATTGCAACATTATCACCACAATAAGTCTGTATGTTTTTAAAATTTTGATATGCTTTAATTATTTCATAGGGCAATAGTATTATACTGTGTAATTAGTACATGAATATGTATGTTTTCTATATTCTCTAAAGAAAAGAACACTGAACCTTCAGAAGAGTTACTTGACATCTGGGCAGATCATACAAATTATTCACTTGACCTTGGCTAAGTAAGTCACATAACCACTTTTCTCCAGTTTGCACAAAATTACAATGCCTACCTATGTAACCGTCATAGTAGTTCGTTGTAAACTGCAAACTCTCCTATTTATGCTCCCCTTTCTTGAATTGTCTTTTCCGTTTCCTTTGTTGACTCAGTATCACAGACTCACTCAAAATATGGTAAATGAATCCTAATGGACCTTAAACCACTTTCTTAAAAATATTTTTTCCCATTGGTGATACAACACATTTCCCCATAGCTTCAACTACTATCTTTATGCCGCCGTCTCTAAAATCCATCTCTGCCTACCTCTTGAACCAGCACTTGTCACCTGTTTCCACCTGAAAGTCCTTCAAGTTTAGAAGTCACAGCCTGATCTCAAGTGTCTTCCATAAATGTGTTCTTCCCACTTTTCAAACTGTGTGGTGTCATCCCTATGCAGCAGCTCAGTGTCTAACTGTCTGGATCCTCTTCAGCAATATTTATCTTCTAGATTAGTCATTTATTTCTACTAGTTATACCTTTTCAGTAATTTCAAAGATTATTTCCACAGCTAGTCTCAGTTAAGATCCTTTCTACATTCCATGGGGATACCTTCCATAGTCTCCTTACTGGTTGATTTAATTTTCCTAAACTAATGCTTTGCTTTACAGGAGGTTCTTCAAGGCCACCAACATTAAAATGCAGACATCTGAATGCCAGCCCAGAAGCTGAATCAGAATTTGTATTTTTAGCAGGCTCCCCCAAGAGCAATACTGACATTCTGTAATGCCCAATAATGTCCAATAATTCAAAGCCACTGTCTAGCTCAGCTTCTCTATTCTATGAGGATCATCTTCACAAAGCAGGTCTGAAGTTCATCTTACTCAATAACCTTCCAACTTACGAAAGAGACTTTCTCTTGGGTGACTAACCAGGAGTGAAATGTGTGTGTGTGTGTATACACACATATATACATATTTATGTTTATTATATTTATATAAACATTATGAGACACTGCTGAACTGTTTTTCAAAATGTGCAAGTAGTTATGTAAGTAGTATATGAATGTTCCTGTCGTTCCATGCCCTCCCCAACTCCTCAATGCTCAATCTTTTTGATTTCAGCTATTCTAGTGGGTAGTTAGTATTATCTCTTTTTAATGTAAATTAGTATTTCCCTAAAAACAAATGATGATGAGCATCTTTACATGTGCTTATTTGCCATCCATATATTCATTCATCTCTGGTGAAATGTCATTCCAATTTTTTTTTGCCCATTTTTAATTGAGTTGTCTGTCTTATTATTAAATTGTAAGAATGTTTTATGTATTCTGATTCAATCCCTTTGTAAGATACATATTTTATAAATCTTTTCTCAGTCCAGACTTGCCTTCCATTTTTTTAATAGTGTCATCTGAAGACTATCTCCTGGAAACTTTAATGAAAGCTTTTGATTTTGATGATGCCTTGCACAGCATGT